CCCCCCGCCCCCCCCCCCCCCCCCCCCCCCTCCCGCCACTCGGTTGGAAGTGATGACGTGGTTGAGTTGATGGCGAAAAAGCACATACTGTTGCTGCATGCTGGTGGTGATTCGAAACGGGTGCCCTGGGCAAACCCTATGGGGAAGGTGTTCCTGCCCCTTCCTTATTTGGCTGCGGATGACCCTGATGGCCCCGTTCCTCTCCTCTTCGACCATATACTTGCTATTGCTTCTTGTGCAAGACAAGCTTTTGGAAATCAAGGTTCTTATTACTTCATGTTTACATTTACTCGCCATTCCATTTAAAACAGTTTTGAACAGCTTACCGCTCTTCTAAGCTCTTCTTAACTTATTTCAATGCTTTTCTTTCATGTTTACATTTACTCGCCATTCCATTTAAAACAGTTTTGAACAGCTTACCGCTCTTCTAAGCTCTTTTTAACTTATTTCAATGCTTTTCTCGATTAAGGGTGCATTTGGAAGCACCAATTTACTGTTTATTTAGACTTATGATGTAAACACTTGTTTAAATGTATGGGAGAACTTATGACAATAGCCTAAGATCTGTCTGTCCATAAGTGGGTTGAGAAATGTTATCTGACACACTTTTTTTGAATACACACTGTCTGACAGGGTGAAATTTATTGCAAATCACAAAATTTAGTGAGTGTCCTACCCTGATTTTGTAGTTTCGAATGAATTTTAACTAATAAGAGGGATTGTATTTGCTAACACTCCACAAGCCGTATTCAACTTATTCTAATAAACTCTCCAAGATAGTTTATGAAAACAGCTTTGCATGAAAATATTTCAACTTTATTTTGTCTTTAATTATAAAATAAACTTAAATAAGCACTTATTCAGTAAGTGCTTAATTAAGCTATTTACCCAAACAAGTCATAAATTTATGACATGAGTGAAAGGACTTATCAAATAATTCTTAGTATGTGACCAAACATTTCCAAAAGTGTTTTAACATGTTCATTCTGTCAGCTCTGACCTGTATTTTCTTCATTTTAAGTTTTTAACTAGACATCCAACTTGTATCAGCAAAGCTTTACTTTTCACATCAGTGCATCCTAACATGCATCATGCATGCTTGTCTAAAGGAATTCTTTATTTGTGTATTTTTAAATTTGCAATGCGAAATTGGTGATAGAATTTATTTAACCATAAATTTGATAATTGCTGACTTTTTTTGCTGGTGTTAGCTACTGCTGATGTTTGCTCACACAATTCTTTCAATCTTCACAGGTGGAATGTTAACTATGACAGGAGATGTACTCCCATGTTTTGATGCATCCCTCATGACTCTTCCTATGGACACTTCCTGCATCATCACTGTTCCAATCACCCTTGATGTTGCTGCAAACCATGGAGTAATTGTTGCGGCTGAAACTGAGCATTCAACTCAAAATTATGCAGTTAGTTTAGTAGATAATCTCCTACAGAAACCTTCTGTAGACGAGCTAGTTAAAAGTAAGGCAGTTCTAGCTGATGGTAGAACACTTCTTGATACTGGAATAATAGCAGTTAGAGGTAAAGCATGGTTGGAGCTTGTTACACTTGCATGTTCCTGTCAGCCAATGATTTCAGAACTCCTGAAGGGCAAACAGGAGGTATACTACATTGTTTGGTATGAATATATTGTTTAGTTTTACAGTTGGGAAAGGAAAGAGGAGAAAGTAATGGATAAATAATCATTTGTTATGCTTTTTATACAGGGATAGAAAACAAATTGAGAGATACTAAGTTTATTTGATTTTTTAAAAATAATTATGGAGTTTTTTTCCCATGCATTTTACAATTTTTTGCAATGATAATTGAATCATTTTGTACTATTTTTTAAGGTTTAGAATGTGATTTAATATAAAAAGTAAAAATATATATTTATAATTGTGTGGGACTTTATCTCTTGCAATGGTTTCTTTCCAAATCTGTCCACGTTTGGACTAATTGGAATTTTTGTGGGGACCATGGAAGTGGTATCCTCACATTTATTTTACATTCTGCTATATGATCCAGTAACAGAGTAAGATGCTCTTCCACAGGCTACTTCCCTTCCACATACACATTTCCATTCGGCCAAATAAATCATGATTTTTAAATGTTATGAATACACCAAGGACTCTTTCTGTACATTCCAGT